AAATTTTGTCATTTAGCAGACGCTTTTGTCCAAAGCGACTTACAAATGAGGACAATAGAAGCAATCAAACCAACAAAAGAGCAATAATATACAAGTGCTATATTAGTATATTATTATAGTGTTATATTTCAATTTCACAAAGAAACGTGCAGCATTTTGTCCAAGCAAAAATAAAAGGACACATTTAATTTATAATTTGTCTTAAATCTCATTTTGTTAAAAAATAAATCGTGAATCGAATCGTGAGTTGAGTGAATCGTTACATCCCTAGAACTGATAATAGTAGGTCTCATTGATCTGAGCTTATGCACCTCAGTTTTTGAGTGAAAAATGCATTCAATATTTACCCCAATACTGAGGTGTACACTCTCAGATCAATGAGGCCTACAATCAATCTGTTTAAATAAGAAATACAAAACCTGTCATAATCGACAGAAACAAGTTAACACTGAATCCAATATTTGGTAATGTAGCACAATGAGAAATTGATAAGCATTATACATGCTTTATATACATAAAAGATACATATGAAATAGCTGTACTTGCTACTTAAACATACATGGTCTCTCTCTCTTTCTCTCGGTCTCTCTCTCTTATTCTCTTGTTCTCTCTCTCTCAGTCTTATACACACAAACATGAACACATCAGCACACAGGGGGATCTGTTTCCAGTGAAAAGAGTATGAATATTTCAGGGCAAAGCTGTCATACTGATCACATAGAGTCTGGCTGAGAACTGCTATCCATTCACCTGGATAAATAATGAACAAAATAAACGAAGCAAAGTACAGACAAACGGCGCCAGGGCAAAACCACAGCCCACTTTAGTCTATATACAACTTTATAAAAATAACCTTCACAGAACAAAGGTAATATAAATGTTACCATATGAGGAAGCACAGGATATACTGTATATATATATATATATATATATAATTTATCCTGAAGAATTTACTTTAGTCAGCTATCTTTGTTACATAAGAAGCTGTTCACACAGAACATGTTCTCTCTATACATACCTGAGCTGAAAGAGGTTTATAGAGATGTTTCCATTGGTCATTTTGTCCCATTATAAAACAAAAAAGGGGGTCAACTAATTCAGTTATTGTCAGGAATAGTGACGTATACTATAGCACTTTTATAATGGAGGTGTAATGAGGGCAACATGTACCACTACCAAAGAAAACTTTCTTCCTCCATGCCAACTTCCAAGAGTGAATATTCAGTTCTTCCCATTAATACAATTCCATTACTCTTTCCACCAAAGACCTCTTTTACGATTCCTAGGATTTACACAACACATCTGAAAAGTTGTGTCTAGACTCGAGCTAATGCTTTAGCTAATATTGATGTATACAGATTTGTGTTAAAGAATGGAATATATGTTGGAGCTTCGGGACAGGCATATTTTTAGGAAGTCAGTGGTTATAAAAAATGTCATTATGCATATTTACCATTTTGGAGTGAAATTTTGTTTTACGAAGTATACAAGTACATATGGTTTAACAAGCTAGAAATTAGGATAAACAAATGTTCTGACCATTTTGGGTCAGCAAGTTATTTATTTATTTATTTAATTAATAATTTTATTTAGCAAGGATGCATACATCGGTCAAACGTGACAGTAAGGTATTTATACTATTACAAATGTATAATGTTACAATATATTCTACTTCAAATAAATGCTGTTTTTTTATTTTACTTTCTCTTCATCAAAGAGTCCTGAGGAAAAAAAAAAAATTAAAAATTAAAAAAATAAATAAACAGCTCAACTGTTTTTAACATGGTTAATAATAAGAAATATTTGTTATTATTTAACTTAAAGGACTCTCTTGTGTGATTAAGTACATTTCCCCCTTTTTTATTACTAAACATGTTGTAATAAATTGTTAAATTAATTATGTAATATATGATATAATAATATTACAGTTCAAATACTTTTTGTAGATTGCTAAATTTGATCTAAAATTGTTATTAATGGCATCAGTGACCTTAATGTGATGTGTGTGTGTTGCATGCTGGGAGCTTCAAATTGTAATATTGTCCTGATAAACTTGTTTCTATGGTATATTTTAGGGTTAATTACTGCTACTGTTTTGTAGTTTTAACCGATATTAAGAGGAAAAATATGTAATATTTATTTACTTGCTCAAAACAAGTAGGTTGCTAGTGGGTCTCTAAAGGTTAATAGACAACAAGAAGCTTCCAACAAAAGATTTCCCAGTATTCTTTCTCCTTTAACTTTCTCTCTCTCTCTCTCTCTCTGACCGGTAGATATCCTGGCCTCCTTCACCTTCTCGGCGAGATGAATGCAAGTGGGCTGGGAAGGACGTCCAAGTAAGTGCTTCTCTTTCACTTTGTATTTTTTTCCATCCTCTCTCTTCTGTCCTCTCCACAACCCTGAGATCTGTCGGATAGACCTCACTGATGCAGTGAACTGCTTGTTAGTCTGCAATGTTCCACTTCTCTCTGCTTCATCTCTCATATGTCTCGCTTTGTAGTACATGTATGCATGATATAACTCCAACTACATAAATGATTACACAAAAATCTGTAACTGTGAAGAGAGCGATGATCAGATCTAATATTTTACTAAATATATATTGGTAATATACTTTGGTAATAATAAGAAATGTTATTTGAGCAGCACAATAAAATGAATTCATGAAGGATCATGCGACTTTGAAGACTAGCGTAATGATGCAGAAAATTCAGCTTTGCATCACAAGAATAAATTACATTTTAAAATTCTTTCAAATAGAAAACAGTTCTTTTAAATTGTAATATTTCACAATATTTAACTTTATTTTTAATCAAATAAATGCAACCTTGGTGAGCATATGAGAGTTTGTTCAAAAACAGTAAAAAATCTGACCCCAAACTTTTGAGCAGAAGTGTGTGTTTACATAGTACCTCAGCGTTTAAAAGAGCAATACAATAATTTTTTCCCCATTATATACTGTATGTCTTTTATTGAAAGTAAATGTAATATTTGAGATGGATCCAAAATGAAGACACGATTGGTTTGCTTTTGACAAGAACCGCTCATTCTGTGAAGGTAAAGCTGGGCTTGTCTGTCATCTGTCTTTTGCTTTCACAAACAAAGTTGAAGGTTTCTCTCAGAAAATCAGTTCAGCAGATGTCAGTGGAAGAATTAATAAAAACCAAATCACTGAATTGTGGGACAACGGTGTGTAAACACTTTCCAGGCTGGGCTGCCATTTGCTCTCATAAATTCCATCGCAGATCCTGCCCGAGGCGCTGCCTTGAACATATAGAGCCATAGAAAGCGGCCCTCGGCGCTGTTAGCATCATAAAGAAACTGTAAGGTTGGTTGGGTTTCAATGGTGCTTATTTGAATTGCGATAACATGCATTTTGATGTAAACATGGTTTCGATGAATGGCGGGGTGCTCACTGAAAGATGGCTTTTATGTGAAGAGAGGGGTGCTGGTCAAAAGAGACAGATTGACTGAGGCTTGTTCTGCTCAAAGAGAGGTTGGCTCAAGCTTGTTTGAAGTAAGTGGGACTATGTCAATTTAGGGCCCTTTTGAGGGCCAATGAAGATAGAAAACTGCTGGTCCTGTTGAAGGATCTCAGTCGCAATTTGTAAGAAGCAAAAAGAGAGTGAGATCAATGCTTATGAAGTCTTCCAGAAGTCTTCACAAAAACAACCATTTATGTTGGTGGTGGTGCAGCATGTTAGGTTAAATTAGACAAGTGTTTAAATAGAAGTGTTTGAATTAATCTGTGGATTTTGCAATAAATTACTTTAACATAAAATTATCGTATTTTATTGCATTTTAACATTTTGTATTATATATTATATTTTAGTTTAGTTTAATTAATTTTATTTCATTCACAAATGTCATTTCTAAGCGTTTTAAATGCATTTGTACACTTAAAAATAATTAAAATTAGCATGAAATATTGACATTTAAAACTATTTATTTTATTTATTTATTTTTATTTAATTTTATTAAATTTTATTTATTTAATTTTATTAAATTTTATTTATTTCATTTTATTTTATGTTATTTTATTTCACGTCATTTCATTTCAGATAAGGCTTGTTCAAAACCAATAGCATGGACAAAGCAACTTTTTGAAATCTTTTAAATACTGTTTTCCTATTGGTTACTGTGCAATTTCACTATCAAACAATGTGTATAGAAGTAACAAACCACTATTAAGAAGGTGAACCAGCAATAATACATTGAGTGGAGAACTTAAACTTTAATTAAAACCTTGCATTTTTGTCTTGATGACAGAAACATGTGTGTGCAGAAACATGTCAGTTTAAATTAAGTCTGAGTTTTCCAATTAGCAAATGTTTGCTGGTTGCTGGGAGAAATCACCATACACATGAGTTACATATAATTATCATGGGATATTAAGTTGGGATAGGAGGTTGGAGAAATATAGCTAAACTAAAGTATCAGTCAGTCAATATTGATGGTGTAGAAAAGCCAAATCTTTGAGTCACATATTATATGTTGTCATACTTTTCTGTAAACCTTTTCCACATCAGATGAGTCACTTCAGTCTGTTCCAGATGAGACTTGCTCAGACACGTGGCTTTAACACAACTGAGGAGCTTCTGATCATCACACGCATGCACATTTCCATAGGCAAAATCCCTGCTCAGATGCTACAGTGAGCTGACAAATAAAACACACACACACACACACACACACACACACACACACACACTAACCCTGACAGTACAGGCCACTGGGGAGCTATGGACGCCGATAACAGGATTTCCCTGTTAATGCACTAAACACCCTGCTGAAAAACAGCTCCAGCTGTTGTAATATTTTCCTTTTAATGAAGCGCTTTGTGGGAGCATGTTGGTCAGCTGTGCCGCTGTGTGTGGAATTCTGCTGTAGGAGTTTGATGAACACAGAAATGACATAAACAGAGGAATTACGCAATGTTAAAGAACATGAAATGATTGAGTCAGTCCACAGATTACAACATGCCAATCTGATGACATCAAAACACATCATTATGCAACCTAAACCTATGAGTGAACCCCTATAATATCGAAGGTGATAATATGAAGGTAATTATTAGTGAATGTATGAAGTCAGTTCCCACACAGGTGTCCTAATCACAGGTTTAGGTCACCACAATAACTGTGTTTCAGTAAGTATTGGAAATCAGAAAGTAAACAAATACTTCATCCATCTTCACTACTGTTCAAAAGTTTAGCATCAATAAAAATATGTATTTTTTTATTTTAATTTTTTGTTTGATAATAAATACAATAAAACAGTAATATTGTAAAATATTATTACAATTTAAAATATATATAGAATATAGAATACATTTTAAAAAGTAATCATTCCTGTGATATCAAAGCTGAATTTTAAGCATCATTACTCCAGTCTGTCAGTGATAAAAACAAATGTTGTTATTGGACTGATTCCTAAAATATAATTATTTATTTTAATATATTTATTTATTTTGGATTTATTTATTATAATTGTATGCTATTTTATTGTCAACATTTTTATAATAATAATCATATAAATAAAAACGGCAATAATTTAATTTAATTTAATTTAATTTAATTTTATTTTATTTTTTAGAAAATGTGTGTAGTTTGTCCGGTGGGGTCCAAATATAAGACTACTTTGGAAAACAAAGTAAACACATACATCATCCTTCTTCACTACTGTTCAAATGTCAGTCATATTTTTATTTTTTTATTTGATCATAAATACAGTAAAGCACTAATACTGTAAAATATTACTACAATTTTAAAAATATATATAGAATATTAATGTATTTTAAAATGTAATTTATTCCTGTAATGCAAACAGAATTTTCAGCATCATTACTCCAGTCTTCAGTGTCACATGATCCATCAGAAATTGTAATATGCTGATTTGCTGCTGACATGCTGACATTCATACATTAAGTGTGTCCTAAGTGTCCAAGTACTTTCTTGGGCCACTGCGTGTGTGTGTGTGTGTGTGTGTGTGTGTGTGTAGGTGATAAGCTGTGTCTGTTGGCATTTGTTGACACAGATGGCATGTGTTTATTTATCTAAGAATGTAGTGACCACTGTGAATCAAGAAATATAGAAACACCACAGATTTAGTTTGCTTTTCTCTCTGTCATGTTCAAGGTGTTGTTTTGGAAGTTTCTGTTGGTAAAATATTGGCTACATCAATATAAATGCCATTTTTATGATCATTAATTGATGTTGTTTTGTTCTCTCTCTCTCTGCAGAAGGAGTGCTCAAACTTCATAAAGGTTCTGCAGCCGTTTAATCAGACGCACTTGTATGTGTGTGGAACAGGAGCCTTCCATCCCGTTTGTGCTTATGTGGAAGTGGGCAAACGCCTGGAGGTACATCCATCCCACATCAGTTATTCTTTCACAGTTTATTGGTGATTCTGTTTTATCAAATTATGTCACTTTTGATTATTTAGAAGCATTGGTCACTAAGACAAGACCTAAAAAATGATGCTCAAATTTTTCGAATCACAGAGTAGCCTAGAAATCTGATGGAAAGTTGATAAATGTTTCATTGTGGATTGTCATTTGCACAGAGATTAATTTTATGCTCATTTCTGTCCAGGACAACATCTTTCGGCTAGGGTCATCAAGCTTTGAGAATGGCCGTGGAAAGAGTCCCTATGACCCCAAACTGCTGACTGCTTCCATGCTGATCGGTGAGTGATGCTGAATATGAACGACTGATTTTCTGGTTAATATTTAAGTTCATTGTAATCCTAGAAGTCAAAATTAAATTTTAAGGGTCTTAAAAAGTATGTACAGGTAGATGTATTTTATATAAACTAAACAAATTTATTCATTTTCTTGACTTCACATTTTTACATGGGTGGTGTAAAGTGATTCTGTTTTATCAAATTATGTCACTTTTGATTATTTAGAAGCATTGGTCACTAAGACAAGACCTAAAAAATGATGCTCAAATTTTTCGAATCACAGAGTAGCCTAGAAATCTGATGGAAAGTTGATAAATGTTTCATTGTGGATTGTCATTTGCACAGAGATTAATTTTATGCTCATTTCTGTCCAGGACAACATCTTTCGGCTAGGGTCATCAAGCTTTGAGAATGGCCGTGGAAAGAGTCCCTATGACCCCAAACTGCTGACTGCTTCCATGCTGATCGGTGAGTGATGCTGAATATGAACGACTGATTTTCTGGTTAATATTTAAGTTCATTGTAATCCTAGAAGTCAAAATTTAATTTTAAGGGTCTTAAAAAGTATGTACAGGTAGATGTATTTTATATAAACTAAAAAAATTAATTCATTTTCTTGACTTCACATTTTTACATGGGTGGTGTAAAGTCACATGACTAGATTCATTACCCGCTCTGAAAGTTTATGTTATGTTAAGATGTTATAATCTATAAAAACAAGTAATTGGTTACTGGTATCATAATACAAATTAAATGCACAGAGAAGACAAATCTATCAAAGGTAAATTTTATAATGTGTGAAAAAAGTAAACTCTGACTAATTCCAAAAATATAATTATTTATTTTAATATATTTATTTATTCGGGATTTATTTATTATAATTTCATGTTACTTTATTGTTAAATTAAATTAAATTAAATTAAATTAATTTTTTTTAGAAAATGTGTGTAGTTTGTTCAGTGGGGTCCAAATATAAGACCACTTTGGACAACAAAGGATTCAGAATCTAATTTAAATATAGTATCTAATATAAATAAACGGAAAGTTTATGTATCAAATACTATGTCATTGATGTTACATTTTCAATTCAACTTTTGACTCAAATATGCTGATAACATAATTACAGTGCATATGTTTGTTTTCTCAATAGCAGTTGTTATGCTTCACTGAGCTATTTTGTTTGTCACCCTGAGAAATTAATTAAACTATAAACAGAACATAAAGCAGATTTGGTTAGAGGAAAATAATACAGGTCTGTGTTTGTGTATTTTGGTGTGTGGCAGTGCATAATCCGGAGTGTGTTTTGCTCTGGTTCATGTGTTCTGAATGGAAACTCAACACCCTTGATTAATGCTCTCTCTTCGAGGATGACCAGTGCAGACTGTTCCTCTGGTTTTGTGCTTTACCTGCAGAGCGTTCTACTGTTAAATCTCTCATCTCAGATTAAAGGTCACTCATGACACACACACACAGTCCCGTTCTCTCACGCCATCCTTGAGCGTGAAATTGCCTGCGAGTGTTGACTGTCACACCTCTTTGAGTCCTCACCTGAGCCGTTATTAAAGTTTACAAAACCCAGACTGAACTAGTTCCTCCTGTCTCCTGACATTTCATTCTTGCCATCCATATTGAAATCACATCAACCATCCTAAATATGAGTTTTAATTAGTGTTTTTGATCATCAGATGGGGAACTTTATGCTGGGACGTCAGCTGACTTCATGGGCCGGGACTTTGCCATTTTCCGAACGTTAGGCAAGCACCATCCAATCAGAACGGAGCAGCATGACTCCAGATGGCTCAATGGTAAGACACAAACACATATTTACACACAACTTTGTATATATTTTAAATGAATGCAAACAAATAAATATGAATTGATCCATCAGAATTAATTCGAATATGCTGATTTGCTGCTTTCAATGTTGAACAACATATTTTACGATGTTGCATTTTTTCAGGATTCTTTGAATAGAAAGTTCAAAAGAATAATATTTGTTAGAATATAAATATTGTAAATATTGTAACATTATAAATTGTGAATTTATTTCTCACAACATGATGTTACTTCTTATTTCTAACTTTACTTCTTATTCTCAAATGTAATAATTCAATTTAAATGACTGTTTATTCTGTGGAAACAGGCAGTGATATATGTGAGAGAGAAACAGAGAACTCCTTAACCAGAAGAACTGGATTTTTAATCTCGATCAGAAACTTAAAAGTTATCAAATATCATTACCTCACATTTTGTGTGCTTGCATGTGTGTCTGTATACATCTGATGGAATTAGGATTATATAAACACCAAAAAGCATCATCTTCTCATACTTCTTTTTTTGTTAACCACAGTAACAATTAAAGATTAAATGAATGTCTTTGACTCCAGTGAACACGTTTTGCGTCATAGGAGTGTGTGTATGCACGTGTGTGTGAGGTTGTGGTGAGGTGACTGTGTAGGTCAATGTGAGCTGGTGCCACAATAATGTCATGTGAGATGTTTGTCACGTGGCTCTTGGACCTCTGTGAATACAGCAATAACCATGAAAAACAGGCTGTGAAGAGCTGGGGCCCACAACACCAAAAATAGAGCCTACGCACACTTAACATCTCCCTAAGACACACACACATGTAAATTTGAGAGTCAGACCCATTCAACTCTATGAACAATGAAGCTTAAAATGAAATCTAAAACTGTCAGTACTCTTGCTGTTGAAGTTATTGGTCCACACTATTTTTGTTGTATTATGCATTTTTATTCTTTTGTGTTAATGTTTTGTTTGTTTGTTGTCCTTCCAGATCCTAGATTTATCAGCGTGCATCTCATCCCAGAGAGTGACAACCCTGAAGACGACAAGATCTATTTGTTCTTCAGAGAGAACGCCATTGATGGAGAGCAAATCAGCAAAGCCACACACGCCAGAATCGGACAGCTGTGCAAGGTACAGATACTACACCAAAGGACCACAAATGCATGACACCACTGGCTGGTCCACACACACTTAAGCTCATTTTATAGCTCAGAAAACTGGAGTTATCAGTTATGTTTCAGCTTTGCCCCAGATCCAACCTAGGATCATTGAAAAAAATATGCCTATATTTTTGCAAAATTCCAACCTCAACACTTTTACCATTTGTAAAGTAATGCATTTTGAAGTTTGCATCACATAACCAGCTCCATGTTTATGGCTTTCTGATGTAGTAAACTTGCTCGGTAGCACACCTGGTACAGCATTGCACTTGCACTCAGGGGCGTAGATTACGCGGGGGACGTGTCCCCCCCCCACACTTTTAATATCACGTAAATTCGTCCCCTGCACTTTTTCGGGCAAGTGTGTTCGCATAGAGGTTTTCAAGAGCCGGTGTGAATAAATATAGATTTAAATTCAAAGAGACAGGATAGTCGGTGCATGATCTGATGTTTTATTCGGACCCAGAATAAGGCGAGATGAACATCACGGAGCGCTAAACACACCGTGCAGTGTATGTTACATTCATACTCGAAGCCGGAGGGCGCTCTCGCGCAGAAAGTCGTACGAGGAAAT